ACAGATCGGAAAAAACCATATGGTGGTTGGAGAGTAGTTAGCCATTCTTTTGCTTAATTAGGGAGAGAATTTTGGTAAATGTCGTTATGAAAAGAAAAAACTAAAAAATTCTCTCAATCAAATTTTTGGTATATTCGTGACATTATACCTCTTACAAGTTTCCTTTTAGATTTCTTCTAAAATTCTAGTCAAACCATAAAAATCTAACAAAATCGATGAAGTGTGATGAAAGAAATAAGTTTTTCCCCATACGAACAACAAATGTAATTAAACGCAAGGGTCGAGGGTATTCCGGTCACTTTAAAACCGGAAGCGTGCGTGAGAGATGAAAATATCTATTTGACCACGGAGGAAGAAAGGGTAAAAAGGTCATTTTAGAAAAAGACCACGACGAGCCAAATGTTCGGTTGCATGAAGCAAAGAGCCTCAGTAATCTCCACATATCGGCACACAGGTGGTTGCAGCCGCCTTTAGGTTTCCCGCCGGTTTTCAAGTTTGTTTTGGGGTCCATGTTCTGCCAAGTAGACTCGCCACGTGTTCTCGTAGGAACCCTCCGTTTCACTGTATTGATGAGCTTCTTTAGCAAGCTTATGGTGAAAACTTAGGCCCATCAGCGAATTTGGCCCATGTTGATGGATCTTTTTCCAAAAAAAAAAAAAAGAGTCAAATGGGGTCAATAAAGATTAGACTTAGTAATTCAGAATTACACCATATGTCACACTCAGTTAAAATGAGGTTTCTATCGATAATATTATTATGGGCTAATTATTATCAAAAAAAAAAAGAGAGAAAATTAGTTGTATTTCAAAGGGGAAAGTTCTAGATTGGAACCTTTAGATGATGGTGACAAATTTTAAAAAAACTAAAACAGTCAACAATCCTAGAATAATTAAATTGAAAGATAATTAGGTTTAAACTGTTTATAGTTCTTCTAAGAACTTCTGATAATGATGTGTAATTAAAAAAATTAAAACAGAACAATTTTTAATAGATCAATAAATCGTCATAGTTGCAATATGCAACTTGCATAAACTAAAAAGAAGAAAAAAAATGGGCCAACATTTGTAAAGAACACTTACCTAATTCACCAGGACTAAAAAATAAGCCAAAAAAAAATGAATTATTTGATTTGTTTCACCAACATATCCACACAAAAACGAAAATCGAATATGCGAATAATACTTAACATGAAAAACGT